AAATGATGAGAGAGAGATTGGAATTAATGCTTTGAGCTGCCCTATGCTATAAAACCACCTGACAAAAGGACATTTGAAGTCTTCATTTTACTCTCCAATTACTTAGTTTACAGCTAACGTCATGGTTCAAAACGGTGGACTTTTTTATGGGGTCAGGTTCTTCCTGTAGGTAACCTCAAAGTAGAGCTCTGGGTTTCAGAACAAAAGATAAACCACATCTCACTCAGGTACCTTACAATTTTGGTGTCCCCACCAGAGCAAAAGAAAAAGAAAAACTGGAGATGTCTGCAGGTGGCACACAGCTTTGGGCATCGCTGTTGTAGGCTTTCTTAGCAAACGGTACAGAAGGTTTGCTATATGAGCTCGGTGCTTCAGGCCAGGAGCAGAGTCTGTAGCTCTTGTTTCCCCAATGCTCCAGAATGAATGCGAGATGGAAGTAGATCTCCCGAGTGCATTCTGATGTCAGCATCCTCTATGTGGCTGGTCATAGCACACAGGAAATGTGCTTTCTTCTCATTTACCCTCTTATTATTTTTACCTTTTTAATGCATCCACAAAGCCCTCAATTTTCTAATGCATTCCATGACCTTCAAAAGTTAGTGCATCCTGATGTCAGCATCCTCTATGTGGCTGGTCATAGCACACAGGAAATGTGCTTTCTTCTCATTTACCCTCTTATTATTTCTACCTTTTTAATGCATCCACAAAGCCCTCAATTTTCTAATGCATTCCATGACCTTCAAAAGNGAGTGCATTCTGATGTCAGCATCCTCTATGTGGCTGGTCATAGCACACAGGAAATGTGCTTTCTTCTCATTTACCCTCTTATTATTTTTACCTTTTTAATGCATCCACAAAGCCCTCAATTTTCTAATGCATTCCATGACCTTCAAAAGTCCACACCCAGAACATGTGATTGTATTGATTATTAAGCCCAAATACCAAAATGCATTTAGTCAGGGCTCATCTTAGTTAAATTTATATCTTATGACTGAACCAATCTCAATTTGAGTGATGTGTATTTGGGGGAGAAATTTATCACAATTTATAGTTTGAATATTTTATCTTCTTATAGGCCTGAACAGTTTGAGCTTAGTCTTATTTACAACCTCAGACAGAATAACTGCCCTGCAGAGAATCATTTTCAATACCCAATAAGGTTATGAATCAAGTCAAAATAGTATTCTGAGATATTCCTATTTCATGCAATCTCTGCAGAGAAAACACTATACAGTCCTTCACTATCAAATTGCATAATAGTCAGTGAAGTTGTGCTTTTGCTATTTGCATTAAGATGGTTTCATCATTACAGTTTTTAGAATTTATTTTGCAGTATCCCCTTCTTCTTTTGAGAAAAGTTAAAAATTTATCTATCGCCTGTCTATCTCCTATCTACCAATCTATCAATCTTCCTGTGAATAACAACATTTAACCCCTTCTTAGTCTGTGAAACTCACATGGGAGATCTTTTATTTTTTTGCCACCAAGCATATAGGCTGATTAAATTTGAAGGGATTCTTTAATAATGATGATGCACATTTAATAGATTTATCTTCAAAATCAGCATCTCAGGTAATGCTAAAAATTTAAAGTTGCCAGAGTTTCGAATGTCTCAGACACACACACACACACACACACACACACACACCTGCACTGATTATAATTTTTAAATGTGTAAATGTGCCCACAGAGACTTACATGGCCACTATAATACCATACTTGATGGCTTAGACCAGTGGTTCTCACCTGGGGATCATTTTGTCCCCCGGGATTATTTAGCAGTATCTAGAGAAAAAATTAAATTGTTAAAACTAGGTGGGCACTAGTGCTTCAAAGTCAGGAATGCTGTAAAGCACCTTGCAATGTGCAGGGAGAACCCCCATGAGGAAGACTTAGAGGATTCAAAATTTCAATTGTGCTGTGATTGAGAAACCCTGGGCTTTACATTATATTATTTTTGTGCAAATTAGCTAAATTTACAAAGATGAAGACATGGGGGAAAAAATATGATAGTCCTCAACTTGTGAATATTATGAATGCCTAAACTAGACCTCACACATGTGCAGATACCCCAGGCTCATCCTCTTAACAGTGGCTGGTTCATGATTTCTCACTGGCTCTCTGAACCTTGTGGGGATGTGGACTTAGACGGAGGAGGGATTTGATTCTACCACTCCAAGCATGAAGTCGACGTGTGACCCAGCTCGATAAGTCTTAATCAATATTTGACTTGATAATCCCATCCACGCTGAGTTCGAGAATTTACAGGGTGAGCCAACATTCCTCATGGAACTGACTTCACAAGTCATGGGAGAAATCTACCAATGGAGTTCTACATGTATTGAGCTCTGTGTTCCAGAGAGTAGACTATCTCATGTCATCCCACACATCTGTAAATTTACCTATAGAGTGAAACCCAAAGAAACTAAATGACTTGCTCTGAGCTTGCTCAGCACTAACAACGAGCATGCACATTGTCCTCTTCTACCCAAAAATCTTCTGGACAGGTCAGTGTTTATTTTATAATTGAAACATATTGATTACATGTATTTGTGGGGTACAGAGCTCAATTTCAATACACATATACAACGTGTGATGATCGAAACTTTATCATTTCTTTGTGATGTGGACATTTGATCTCCTCTCTTCTAGCCATTTGATAGCATGCAGTAAATTTGTGTTAATTATCAAAATACCAGTGGGCTGTATTTGTTGAGTGGGTATTTTCTGTGCTGTGTGTCCTTCCTCCACTGTACAGCTCCATGAAGTGGGTGACATTATTGCACCATTGTACCTAATGTTCAAAGAGTTTGACTCAGTTCCCTAAGCTCACACAGATAGCATTCCAGGACCCAGGTGTGTCAGAATTAAAAATTAATAGTGTCTGCTATTTCCATGAAGAAGGCTCTGGAAGTAAGTGCCAACACTAGTTAAAAAGCAGAAGGGCTTTCATGAAAACGGAAGCATGCAAACATATCACCTCTTTGCTGCTCCTGTCTTGTCTCTTAACTATTCAGAAATTGGATCACTGCATGGCAGACATCCAAATGTTTTCTACTGTAGAATTCAAAGATAGAAAAAGCACAAAAATCATTTCATGCAATGCTATTTTTCATGTTCAATGTTACAGTTCAGATGTTTAGTGCATTTTCATTCACTCTGATTAACTTCACCCAGAATGTCATGTACTATGGAATTTACCCCAATGAAATCACTGCTCCATGATAGATCCAGCTCTGATATATATATATATATATATATATATTAAAAGCTGTGTAACATATTTTGCTCAACTCTTCACTTGCATGAAATGGACAGTCATATTCTAGTGCATAAATGCTCTGAATAACCTACAAAGTCCTTATCAACACATTTGTCTATTTTTGAGTTGAAGAACACCATATTTTAAGCTATACTTGCAAAACTAATAAAATGTTTTCCATCCTGATAGGAAAATTTACCATACTGTTCACCAGTGCAAAGCATCCTTTACTGTCATATGAGGAATGGTTTATCTAGGGACAGTCATATCATCCATGTCAAGACAAATCGAGGTGGGAGTGCTGCAAAAGTTGACCCCTCCTAGGCTCAGTAGGAAGGTACCTCAACTATACTATTGTCAGCTTTTTAAATAGGTTGCAGATGAAGAGTTGACCCTCCAAGGCATGCAGTGGCTTACTCAAAAACCAGGATAAATGCATCTACACTCTCAAGCGCTACAGTAGGCATTTGAAATGCATCCTGTTTAGTTTTTGACAAGGAAGCTGAGACACCAGAGTGATGAAGTACGTAGTGTAAACATATATGCAACTGAGTAGACCAATGAGGATTTGTGTCCAAAGCCTACACTCTTTCCATTAAATGACACTCCCTTGTGGCCCCCCCAAAATATCCACATGTCATGAAGCCAGATGGGCTGGGATGCACACTTCCATGTCCTCATCCTGAAGAAAATTTTAGAGTTCCATGCATATCCCCTTAGGGAA